GGCCTGGAAACGGCAGCGTTAGTGTGCGGGGGGAACTGCTCGGTGTGCGCGTCTGCCTGGGGCAGAGGTGTTTCGTTCCGCTCAGCTTTCCCCATCTCTGCGTACCTGCTCAAGCACAGGGGGTGACAGTAGGTCCTGATTTCTTTTTTGAGTGCTTTTGCTCGCCACGCTCCTCTGGTGTAGCTGTTACTGACAATGGATTTCACATTGAACCTCTAGGACAAGAATAGAGGCAATTTCTGGAGCGTGTATAGGATCATTTTGATGGTAGTGGTGATGTGATTTTAGTATTTGTTGCATTCATATTCACTTAAGAGTGCTGAGGCTTAAATAAACATTGTGTTTAAACACGGAAGGTATTCTTACAGCACTTCACATCTCCACTCCTGTGCATCTTCACTTTGTTTTTCTTCATGTGCTTCTGCATTGCATGTGATTTCTTTCCATGATTCTGTGCCACGGCGTTGCTCTTTGGCCTTTCCACATACACGTTTCAAACTGTTACCTCACAGGCCTGCTTTTATTATCATTTCCAATCTAATGTTTTTGCTTCTGGACTTTATTATATGTGGCAGTTTCAAAGTTTCTTGCTGACTATCCTCAGCCTTCTTTGTGCTTACTTACCTCACTGTAAAGAAGCCAGAACTGACAGACACGCAAGTGTAGCTGGTATCTATTCTTTGTGTAAGTTGGTTCTACACATACAGCTCTTGGATAAAACAGCTAGTATCATTTATTAGCAACATAAAATGAATTAGTGTAGTTTTTTCCATTTTTTTAATTATTTTTTTTTTCCCCTATGAGTTATGACTTCAATATTTATGGAGCATTTTCTATAAATACACTGTTGTATAAGCATTATGTCTAAATACAGGTCTGACTGTTGAGACATAATTACAAAATGAACGATAGACTCATCGACAACGTGGTCACTTTGAAATACAACCCTGAATATTGAAAAAGAGCCATGTTGAAACATCTCTGAAAAAATACTTCAAACCTTTCATTTCTAATGTGGAAAGTATATTGCAGTCTCCTAGATCACAATACGCTTCTGAAAATCCTGGTTAAGAACAAGGCACAAATGCAGTTTCCAGAAATATTTCAGGGCATATTGTTGTCACTCTGGTAGCTTCAAAGTGTAACTATAGTAAATGTGACCAGCAGGTAGTACTAGAAAAGGCAAGTTTTCCTTTGTTGTAAGAGATTTCGTAAGTGTTTATGGTAACAGTTGAAGAGGTTTATGCTTAAATGCTACATTAATATGCCAGAATACATCCTGTTACTAGAGCTGTATGCTGTGGGTAACATAAAGTTGTATTCCTTACTGCATGTTTAGAAATTATACACGGCTCTTTGATTTTGTTGTGTTCTGGTTTGTTGTTGTGTTTTGTTGGTTTTTTGAAGCAAGTTTCAGTGATTATTTTTTTCTTGTTTTGATTTAAACTGTTGTATGCATATCTGAATGCTGTTAAACAGTTGTAGTTTTTCTAAGTAGAAGATGTAACTTTTGAATGAGCTTTTTTTGCTGGAAATTACTACTTAACCATAGTTTTGAAGTGTATAGGATTGTTCCGTAACATTTCATGTTTTAAAGAAACCCAGCCAACACATAAAGTGACGTGCATGTACACCTGAACTGTGTTGGGAACAAAACTGGCAGCATTGGTTCCTTGCCCTCTATTCAGTTCCTTAGGGAGATTGAAAGGCAGATGAAATTTTGTGTTCACCACCTTGAGTATGTAGTCTAGACATAAAATGCCTGTTTTGTTTTTCCAATGTTAATCTGACATGCTGTGCAGGTGAGTGATTTGAGGAGGCACAAACTAAAGGTGAGTCAAAACTCTCATTATCTGAACTCACCACATGGTATTTTGTTGAACAAAAAAGAGGGAAATTTGCCCCTGCACAATACAATTAAAAAAAACAACAAAACTCCCCCCACCTCATTTATTGTATAATGTTATTGAAAGGTGAGATTGTCAGCCTTCTCTTCAGTAAATACAGGAAGTTTATCAACAGTCTTGGTCCAAAAGTGAGACAATTCCATCAGACCTTCTTTATTAAATATTTCTTTTTAGCTATTTGGCAGATTCTCAGAAGTTAATTTGAGAAATTGTCATCTGTATTGTATTTGATGCTGAGAGACATAGCTGTGTCCAAAACTGAGAATACTGTGAAACATAAAGGAGCAGGCTGCTTTCAAGTTGTGCTTAATTTCTTGGGAGTTTTTTGTTGTTTTTTTTGTCTACTGATTTGATTGTTCTAACTGTAATTTTAGTCAGTGTAATACTTCTAGTCAATAGAATGTATAGACACGAACTGGGCTTTTCTTAGTTAAAATGTTTGTAATTGGAAGTTAATGTTTTTGTCCCCTTATTTATCAACAAACTAAATGATTTGAGCTTATTTTTTCTTGTTCAGGTTCTCAAGTAGATATAAGCAGTTACTAATTTCTAAAACCTTTTTATAAATGTTTGCTTAATACTCAATCCTCAGGGAACCTGATCAAGCAGTGCTTTTTTATTTTAAGATCTATACTTGGAAAGTTAGGGCCTGAACTAATTAATTGTAACTAACCACAGATGGAATTGTTCCCGTGTGTTTAACTTTGCATTGGAATAATTCATCTTACGGATCCTGAAATACACTCCAACTATTTTTGGCAGCAGGGTGACAAAACTAGTACATATGTATTTTTTCCATGCTCTGAATCTGGCTTATTAGTGCTTGGAGCCATAATATTTCTTCTGAAAGCATGCAGACAAAAACATTATTTGAAGTTAAATATGAAGTCAACAGACTTGAGGAAAAAATCCCAGGGAATTAACATTTTTATCTGAAATTCCATTGGGGGGGGAAAAAAAAAAGAGTATTCAATAGTTTTCCGAGTACAATGGATATTTTTAAGTAAGTATGAGGAATTGAATTTTGTTTGTTTGTTTACTGTAGAGAACAAACTCTTCATTACTTTCGATTTAATGTAGCACTTGTTGAGGCTTTTTTCCAGTAGTCAGGAGAATCCTAAATTAGAAGTAGGAACCAGAGTAACTAGATCATATATAAGCATATTTCAGAGGGGAGGGCAGGGGGATGGAAGCTTTGATATAGTTTTCTGTGGTGGAAAGTTATGTTCTTTGCTGTCAAAAGCTAGAATGACTATAAAAATAAGTTTATATTAGCCATTAATTTCAGAAACGTTTGTCAGCGCTATTCACTCGCCCAGTTTTCTTTTAAGTAAAGTTTGTTTGCTGTTACTGTGTGTTATAAACCTGTGTGCTATTGTGAGCTTCTTCAAGTAAAGTAGTAGCTCAATAAGAAAAAAAAAAATTATATTAGAATAAATTTGTCCAATCTGGTACTAACATGGATGTGTACAAGTGGATCTCATAATTGTGATGTCAACATTGTGATATGTGTGCCTTTCTCTTTGCGTGCTACGGTTACCAGAAATACCTGAAAGCTTGCAGACTGTATGTGTTTGATGTCCTAGGAGACAATGACTTTGAAGAAACTAAAACTGATTATACACTTGGCAGGAGTTCAGTTTGTAGCAGCCTTGCTTCTGGTTTAGGGCAAACAAGAATCGTCTGAAGATGTTTAAGTAGTACCTATGCTGAAAATGGTGGTGGGCTGCTAGAGCATATAATGAGCAGCTATGATGAGTGTGTCACTCGAGGAGTGTGGGAGAAAATAATCAAATAAGCTTTTCAAGTGTTATGCCAACATCGATCAGTGGTTAGAAGGCAGGGGGGTCAGTTTGGTAAGTGGTGTAATGTAAGTGGGAGTATGTGTTTAAACCCTCTTTAGGCCACTGAGTAGTGTCTTAACAGGCAGCTGTGTAATAGTAGATTCAGTGATCTTGTTTTGGACTGCTAAGTGCTTCTTATATAATCAATTTGGTACATGTGGAAGGCACCTGTTGGGCTGTGAAAATTATGAATTCGTATTAGAACTGTGCCCATCACACATTAAAGCTTTAGCTTTGACTTGGAAGAAGCAGGTCAAAAGGATCTGTCTTTCCTAGTAACAAATGGGCACACATAATGACTTTAGCAGGCACATTCCAGACATTGTAATCCTACTGATTGTTTTCTTAATGTGTCTTTTCCTATGTTTTTGTAGTTTATCAAAACACTTCCTACTGTCTTTTGTCTCCTGTTTGCATCCCCACGATTTCTTAATCTCTTAATTAGTATTTACAAGTTATTATTACTCTTAATTAGTTTTTACAAGTTATTATTACCAATTACATCACAGTAGTATATACATAAAATAAATAGTACTTGGAAAAAAAAGAAACCAAAGTCCCAACAGTTGATAATTTTTTTTTATTGCCTTCAGTTCACTTTTGGCTTAAAAAAATGCATAATGTTGAGTATCTGCAAAGGTATCCTACTTACTATAATATGTCACTAGACTGCTGTGAATTTGAGAGACCCTTCTGTAAGTTTGGAAATTTACTCCAGATACACTAATAGCAGTATTGTGGATTATAACATTTAGAACAGTATGTCTTATGGGAATTAACCTTTCAGGCCATGTACATATCTAACCAAAATTTAGAATTGCATCTAGAATTAGGAGTCATGGTAGAGCAGAAAGAAGGTCTGGAGGAGTTTGCCTATGAAGAGAAGTGCCACGTTCTTTCTGAAGTAAGTGTAATAGTTGTTCTCCATATAAACAGAAAACTTGCTAGCTGATCTTCACTCATGAAAGACAAGGATCCAGATTGCTAGTAGTTTGCTGGAACATTTATAGCTCAGATTGAAATAAGATAAAACACAGCCAGTGGACGTGTTTAAAAATCACTTTCATGGCAAGTTAGTGTGAATAGAATATTTATTAGAAAATTTTTTTTCTTAATCTTTGAGAAGTCTCCAGTTCTAGACTATGAACAGTTGGGAGTTGATGGAGGAAAAAAATAGCTAATCATAAATAGAATAACACCATCTTGCCGCTATTATTTAATTTCACTCAATGTGGTAATACATCTCTCCATGTGGGAGGTGGGCATATCAGATGCTTACATTTTAAAGTGAAATAGCTAGCATTTCCTGGTCATCTTTACAGTGTAGGAAGTGCAGATGACAGTACCGATGAAGAGGAATTTGCATATAGTAGTATATTATCCAACAGAGGAAGCACACAATTGCAGATAACATGTTGAAATTGATTTTGCTGTTAACCCCATGCACAGCTTTTTAAACTCTGAATATTAGGTACAAGAAACTAATAGAACTAGTACTCATGGGCCGGTGAAACACTCTTTGCCAGGTGTGTTTTTGTAATTTATGTAGATGTGTTTTTAAGTGTTTTTTCACATACATATTAAATTACCTTTTTTCCTCCCAATACTTGTGTTTGGAGGACATAGAAACTAAATTTAAGTATTGTGATTTAAGATTTTTGCACCTGAACCATTCTATGAAATACAATGTGCATGCAGCTGTTACATTCATTTTCAGGTGCCTTAATACTTGGGTAATATTTATAGCAACTGATCTTATTTCGTGTGCTATGATTCAAGGCCTAGCTGTTGCTCTGTAATCTGATTGTCATACATTAAGTGTGCAAAAACCTGCAATATGAGAGCATCTAGCTCTCTTCAGCTGGTGTTTGATGTTGGCTTCTGCTGAAGTTAGATCTTCCTAGGGTTCATTCAATTCTGCTGAGTGCTAGATCTCTTTGTGCAAATGTCCTGGAAATACTTGAGTTTTATTTAGGGTGAACTGTTTTGGTGATTTAATTTTTCCAGTGTTGATTGTTATGTATACAATCAGACAACAGGGTAGGTGACAGATGTGCAAGTGTGCTTGTGTATTTTTTCCACCACCATTTTTCTTAGGAAAGGGACATTCACCTGTGCAGGCTGTAGTTCTATAATAAGTGGGCTTCGGAATTTTTTTAATACCGAAAATACAAGAAAATAAAGGAAGTAAATCTCTTTGTAAGCTGTACTTTATTTCATCCAAATTCGTAGAAGTACTTGAAGAAAACTGACTATAAGTTATGACCCAGTTTATATCTGAAATACAATTTGAAGTGCTACTGAAAAGTACTGGCAAAGAAACTGGCTGATACAGTGCAAGGAAAATGCTTACCCTGCAAACTTGTAAAACTAACAAGACCTTAGTAAGCTAGCTAAGGCTAGCTCACTGCCTTTTTTTTTTTTTTTAAGTATATGCATATGTTCTTACAGAATTGAGATTTTAATCTGTTTATCAAAAAAGGGGCGATTTAGAAAATCAGAAATTTGTGTGTTAAGCTTGCAGAAGACCAAACTTAAGAAGCTTTATATCAAGGATTTAGTTGTAGGTATATGCAAATTAAAGAAGCAGACAGAGCTCAACAGGTGACATTCTCTTTCCATGGGTATTTGGAATTGACCGTGTGGTACATAACATGTGGATTAACTGAGAATTGTACCTATAACACTTGAATATCAGTAATTACACATGTATAAGTAACTGTGTTGTTCACAGGGAATGCATCTTCATACTTCAGTATCTGTCCTGAATAAATGCCATTCTATGTTTTGCTCTGGCTATAAACCTTAAGGCATATGTCAGTGGAGAACTGTCCAGAGGATACAGTAAGGCAGAAGTATTGCCTGTGGGACCTATGTGTCACTGCCATTGCTATTTTTCCAGTGAACCTGGTGTTTTGCCACTGCTGTGCTACATAACATGAAAATTCCTGAAATCTTCAGATGTGACTCATTGTTGTCAGCATGGAACCACTGAAACAGTCTGCAGAAGTTATCAGAGAGATTGTAAAGTAATTTCTGAATGCATACCTTCTTACCTTGTTGTCTTACTGTGGCAATTAAAAGTATTGTTACTCTTTGACAGTCTTGCGAATGTGTGTATTTTGCTACTTTCTACACTATTATTAACATTTTTTACGTATTAATTCAGTCTTTTGCACATGCCTACACTTAAGAGTACTAGAACTTTATAGTTAAGTAAACTGGAGTTTCACTAACAGGTCTTTTCCCATTTCAGGGAAAGATGGGGTTAAAAGCTGATAATTCTAAACGTGTCACATAAATTTTCTAGGTCATGTAGTAGTTTATTTAAAAGAACACTAGGTGTAGTGTTTGCTCTGAATACATTGTTTGTGTGTGAAAATTTGCAGTGTGTCTCTTGAGTTGTACACACAACTAAGCTTGCATTTTTATGGTACATTGTGCAATATTGCCACTTTATGAAAGCAAACAAAACATGTTCTGAACTTAACTTTTTCTCGTATGTAAATTGATTGGAATTAGAAGTTGAATCACAGAATAACAGAATTATAATGGCTAGAAAGGACCTCTGGTATCACAGAATCCAACCATCAACACACGTATAAAAATCCCAACAAAGAAAAACAACAACAAAACACACCACCAAAAAACACCTGCAAAAAACCCCCACAACCTTGGACACTGGAACATGCCCTGAAGTGCCACATTTAGTTTCTTGAATAACTCCAGGGATGGTGACTCAACCACCTCCCTGCACAAGCTGTTCCAGTGCCTGACCACTTTTTGAGTAAAGAAATTCTTCCTAATATCCAGTCTTCCCTCCTGCAACTTCAGGCCATTTCCTCTGATCCTACTGTTACTTGAGAGAAGAGGCCAACACCCACCTCACTACAACCTCCTTTTAAGTAGTTGTAGGGGGCAATGAGGTCTTCCCTCAGCCTTCAGACTACACAACCCCAGTTCTCTCAGATGCTGCTCATATAACTTGTTCTCTAGACCTTTCACTAACTTGGTAGCTCTCCTCTAGACATGCTCCAGTTCCTCAGTGTCCTTATAGTGAGAAGCCCAGCACTGAACTCAGCACTCAAGGTGCCACCTCACCAGTTCTGAGTACAGGGGCACAATCACCGCTCTACTTCTGCTGGCCTGATGCAGGCCAGGATGCTGTTGGCCTTCTTGGCCACCTGGGCAACACTGCTGGCTCATGTTCAGCTGGCTGTCCACCAGCACCCCCAGGTCCTTTTCCTCTGGGCAGCTCTCCAGCCACTCCTTCCCAAGGCTGTGGTGTTGCCTGGGGTTGTTGGGACCCACGTGCAGGACCTGGCACTTGGCCTGTTTGAACCTCATACAATTGGCCTCAGCCCATCAATCCAGCCTGTCCAGGTCCCTCTGTAGAGCCTTCCTACCCTCAGGCAGATCAACAGTCCTGACCAACTTGGTGTTGTCTGCAAACTTACTGAGGGTGCACTCAATTCCCTCATCTGGCTCATTGATAAAGATATCAGGTAGTATGAAATAAAAGAATAAATAACATTTTGCAAATATTTATTTTCACTAACTTGCAAACTGTCTTATAATACATCTTTACTTATGTGTGTGTTCTGCGTGATAGTAGTCTCCAGTCTACATATAGATAAACGTTGAAAAATATTATGTAATTTATTTTTAATAAACATATTATGTATCATTATTATAGGGAAAAAGATCTTGCAGACGCTCTAGAAGAAGGAGGCTGTGATCTTGAAACAGTAAGAAACATCATTCAAGGAAGGCAATTACCTGCTTATCTGAGGGCCAAAGTCTGGAAGGTAAATACAAGCTTAAATCAAGAAGCGGGAAATAGTTGCTTCATTTGAGGTCAATTATTTAATTAACAGGCATCTATACAGAAGAGGTATAGTACTAGAATTTTAATATGATTGTATGTTGATTCATTAGGATATACCTCTGCATTGAGTTCAATAATTGGGTAGTGATGGAAGAATGCTAAAATGCTTAGAGGGCTTTCTATTTTTTGTTTTCAGATTGCACTTAATGTTGTCGGAAAGGGGGACAGCCTAGCATCCTGGGATGGCTCTTTAGACCTACCAGAACAGACTATAATTCATAAGGATTGCCAAGAGCTGATTGGTAAGTTCTGTTACGTTTAGATCATCTATGTGAAAATTCCTAGCTCTCTTACGGCTTTGTTATTTGAATTAAACAACCTGAATAATGTTTACATCTTGGAAGAAGATGAAAAGGCAGAGAAAATCAGGAAGAACTTGTAAGAAAAACATAGTATCTTATCTGCATTCTGACTCTGAGAAGGGTGACATCATGGAATTTTAAAGTACTAGCTTTTAAGTGATAGTTCACCTGCTTGGACTTGAATGGGGAAAGAAACCTGGGAGTTGAAAAGAAATTATTTTTTTTTCCAATCTCCATCTTTTAAACCAGGTGTTCTTTTTATAGTGTCATTCAAGTTTTTCACTTCCTAGTGACTGCTACTTAATCTGAAAAGCTGGTGTAGCACCAAAATGCATCTAACCTCTAAAGGAAGACATATATTGAACGCTTTGGACTTTTTTTTTTTAAGTATTTTTTTAATAGTGTTTTCAACAAAAATGAAAGGTTGTGTTTATGAAAGCAAGATGCTGCCAGGACATGGGAAATGATATTCTAGTATGCAAAAGCCTTAGTACCAATTATCAGGTGCTGGACTCAATACTTATTCAAAAATTAGAATACTTCTTTGTGCAGCATCAATAAGAGAATCCTCTATTTTATTACCTGTCACACTTTAATTTATTCTTGCACAACTGAAAGTTAAGGCAGAGAATGCGATTATTGCGTGTGTGCATGTGCATGTACTTACTACTTTAAAAATGTTGTTCTATGTTGTCTAGCTCTAAAATCTAGTAGGGCTTCCAAACCCCTCAGTCCTGTGAAGGAAAGGGGAGAAAAAATTTCTCTGTGTTATTTAATTACAATGTCTTTTCTGGAAGATAGTGAAACGTCCCATTTATAATGTTCATAGCATAGAAAATGAAGCACTTCTATGTCTGTTCTCCCTTTGTCTTTATTGGAAATATTTTGTAATATGTAACTATTAAACTGCTTAATAAATGTGAAATTAGTTCACAATGAATTATTATATAGATATTTCGGTTTTGGATTGGATTAAATCTCTTTTTCCATGTTTCAGCAAAGCAAGTACTCTCTAAATTTACAGTAAATCTTCAGATAGCATTTGAGTTTAATGTACTACTTTATTTTCCTGAGAGGTAGAAGAAAAGAAATGCCAAGTGTTGGCAGGCTTTGATGGGAAAGCATTAAAGACTTAAGTAACAAAATATTTCATTAACAGTAATAAGACTTATGGACTACTTGTAATTGAGAGCAAAAAATGTTCCCTGGAAATTTAATGCCACTGCATTTATGTAGTGTCTTAGAGTACGCAGAAAGGTGCTTTGGAACAAAGGAAAACCTAAGCTTTGTGTACATTTCAAATGCAATAATTACAGTATTTAAGAAATGTTTAGCTTGCTACATTAATTACGGAACTGGTTTTGTACCAAATATTTGTGCCAGTTTTTATCCAAATGCGATAATATAAATTATTGATTCAAAATTATTTATTAAATAGGGGACATCTTTACTTTTCAGTACCTTACATTTTAAGAATTTGTACTACATTATTGTAAAAGATTTTGTTCATGGTTAGTGTATCTTCTGATTAGCCACAGTGCCAAATAGAATTTAAAAGCCAGATGTAGTTATAAGTAATCAAATAATTTGCCTTTTTATAGTTACCCTAACAACCCCCAAATTTAAACTGTTTTTAGGAAAATTACTTTGAAGTAGAGATTAAATAAATAGTTTAATTAATAGTAAAATTTGCCTGTAAGTCTAGCTTATTTCAAACTAATGACTTTTCTAAATGTTCATGTCAGTAGGCTTTTGAGGAATTGGAGGTATGCATTGTGGGCTGAACTGTGTTGAAATTCAAATGAAGTTGTTGTAGAGTTGAGCTTAAGTTATCTGCTGAGCACATCAAGTAGGAATAAAAGATGGGGCATTCTGTGCATTAAAATAATTTTTTTGTTTCATATAGATCCTGGAAAACCCAAACTTCTTTAATACTGTTGTGATATTTAAATTCTATTTAAATGCCTTATCCTACTGGGGTTATAAAATAACTTGTATTTTTTATGCCTTTTGGATGCCTCTTTGTAAGCATTTAATCCAGGCTGCTAGTTTTTTGTTCATCTGGTTTTGTTGCTTTTATTTTTATTTCCAAGCAGTAGCTATTGGTGAAATTGTGCTATGAAATAATCTCATTCAAGTTATTTGAAAGGCCATTGATTCAGTTTATGTTGCTGTGCCTATTTCAGACCAGTTGTCAGTGCCAGAGGAGGAGAAGTCAGTATTACTTCTGGATATCGAGTCAATTATTACTTTTTATTGTAAATCACGCAATGTTAAATACAGTTCTTGCCTTGGCTGGATACATCTTCTCAAACCTCTGGTGCACCTTCGTTTGCCACGCAGTGATTTGTACAACTGCTTTTATGCTATCATGAATAGATTCATTCCAAGGTAAAACTCTTTTGCCTGTGTACTATTTTTATTGGCATTTCCTTGAAGTATTTTCTGAAAGGATGTGCATGTTGGTTTCAGCCAGAGTAACACTCTTCGTAGCAAAGTTGTCAGGTTCCTTCAAATTATAATAGATTGATTCACATTTCAGTACCTGTTGCTTTGAAGTCTGGTAGATGATTGAGTTAAGATAGAAAGTGCAGGTGACTGGTGCAGACTCCATGTGCCTTTTAAAGAAAAGCTCATTTCATGCAATATAAAAAATATGTGATTAGGAACTATCTAATTCATGTATATTATGTGAAAGCATTTTCTCTTTCCTTACCTAGTGTTTTTGGTATCTAAAATGCTTCTATCCCTGTCACTTCAAAGTACTTAATTATCACTAAATAAGTCTAAAAATCTCTTTACAAGAATTATTTTATATTTTTCCTGTGTACTAGTGAGTTGGGGCTGAAGTTGGTTGTTTTTTTTAATAGTTAGATTTTTTTAAAAAATAAAAAATTAAATTGGAATTTTTCATGTTGTTATATAGATGCTCTCACAAAAAATATTTTTATTTATGTTGGAGTAGCACCATGACACTCTGGTGCAGGGTTTTCTGGTTTTCTGGTTAAGACATGGTGAAATACTCTGTGGGTAGTTTATAATTAGAGATCTTAGTCTGATTCCCTGGAGGGGAAGTTCTGACCCAGCCACTGGATGTATACTCATAATATGAAAATGCACAGTTGGTGTCATGGCAGGAAACATTTATTGGTCCTGTCACTTGACTCAACTTGTGTCTGATTCTGATTTAATACACTGTTTGGCTCTGTGAACTATTTGAGGATAGTGTCATTATGGTCATGTAACTCATGTACCTCAGCCACATAAAACCTTCAGAACACAGGTGGTGTTTTCAATGAGACCTAGACATTTCTATTTTTTTTTTTAATGGTATAATTAAGGTAATAGAAAATTAATTTATTGTAGGCTTGCAAATCTCCACCTAGGTCAATTTGGTCTCAGTTTGATGTTTGGCTGCTGGCCCATCATTACTATTTGATAGAAGTTAATTCTTAACTTTTTGCTATGTTAAGAAGAGGAAAAGAATGACTGACTGGAACAATTTGCCATAATAACCATTCTAACAGGAAGTAATTTGCAAATTTAGATTCTTATGCTAAAATAATGAATAGGATATTTTTCTTCTTTTCACACTTTTGGCTGTTATCTTAATGGGAAGTCAGAGTCCTTGTGATAATGTCAAAACAGAATCCCTGCATATAGTATGTGGTGGATGTTTCCTGTTCTCCACCATGGACATACACTTCTTTAAGAAAGTTAGGCTAATATTTGTGTTTGGAGAGCTGTGTGTCAAGTGTCACATCACTTTATTTAAGTTTTTTAACACTTTGAGATTTGTTCCCAATGTTTTTAAGCAACTATTTATCCATTTTTAATACTTTTGTATTTCGTGCTTGATGAATTGACATTTAATTGTTATTCATGTATTAAATAAGCATATTTTAAATTTATTTTGGTCAACAGAATTATTTATCTGTTTTTTAATTCAATTTTTAGTTAACAATATTGATACCATACTAGCCTGGATTCCATATTTAAATCAGATTTAAATACTTCTGTGTTTATATACTTCATCTAGTGTTGGCAGTATTTTTTTCTTTCTCCTGTCTTATTAATAGAGTGGGGTTTTCAGTTTTTATAGGTTTTTTGTTGGGTAGTTGTTTGTTTGTTTTTTAACTCTTGAGGCAAGGTTTGTTTATGATCAGACTTGGTGAATTAAAATAAAAATGAAGGAAATTACATAATTGCAATTGCTACTGCAAGTCTGGAAAAACATAGAGGAGTTTATTATATTTTCACTGCTCCTTTTTAGGGATTGTTTTATGAAAGGAAGACCATTTCATCTATTTAGACTGCTTCTTCAGTACCATGAGCCTGAACTCTGCTCCTTTCTTGATACTAAGAAGATGACTCCTGACTCATATGCACTCAACTGGGTAATAATGTGAAAGTAGGGAAACATAATGAAAAATAAATTTATGTTAAAAATTTAAGTACAGCTTGACAGTCTATGGAGGAGTAGTACAAGAGATTAGAACTGCATATATTGAAATCAATTGCTTGTTTTTAAAACAGTGTGGGTTTGGGTTTTTTTGGTTGTTTAACATAAAGTATGATATTTTGTTAACATCCCATTTTTGTTGTAGTGGATGTTAATTGAGCCACTGATGTTAGGAACTACTTGGACTAAGTAGGAATGAAAGCAGCTGACATACTCAGGAAGTAAAAAGCTGTGATGCTAGTTTTTATAGTGGGCAGCTGTATGTTTGTAGATATGGATAAACATCAGCCTAATGTTTTAACAACCTCCATTCTAATAGATATATTTGGTTACCTCAAATGGTGTCATGCCTTTTGGAATATAGGTACATATATTTTCCAGACAGCTCTTCAAGAACTTCCTCCTCTCCTCAACTTCAAAACTGCCTCAAGCCAGGAGCATTTATAAAGATGCTTACCTCAATATTTTTTTAATAAAGTTTGTGTAGTAGAACTATAAAATATAGCAGCAAAATTCTCACGTTTCAATGTTAAGTAGTGCATGCAATGCAAAAAATCAGTGCTTGCAGAGGAAAAGCCTGTAAATTGATAAGGAAGATTTTATGACCCATGAACTCTTCTAAGTTCTTCTTTTATTCCCATTGGCTTTGTAATATTTTTTGTAACTCTGTTACATTCAATTAAAGAAATAAGACTAGAGTTATTTATGAAACTGCAAAGTCTATATTTGGTTGGTTTTTTTAAAAATTATTTTTTTTAGGCTACCACTAATTTTAATATTAAAATGTGTCCAGGAAGAGTTTCCATATTTTCAAAATCTGTCTTTTGCCAGTGATCAGCCTTCAAGAGAGGAATCAGGTGCTTTTTCACTACTGAATCTCCGTTTTTCTCTTACATGTAGTTTTTCTTAGTAAATACAAACTTCTTTGAAGTTGTTTGTTAAAGGTTTAGTGATTCATTAGGGAAAAATCTTCCTCTGAAAGGAGGTAGGGAAATGATCTAGTGTAGCTGCCAGTTCTCAGTGTCATGCTTTCTGGTGTACAGGCTTAGAAACAATCTTAACCCTCAGTTTATGTTATGAGATTATATTAAAATTCCTTGTTTCATCTGTCAAAAAACTCAGTCTATATAGAGGGATTTCTAATTTGTAGAAATACATAAACAACTTTCAAAGACCTGTCATTGCCTCTTTGTTCAGGAACGTTTTCTCTTCAGTTGTGTTTGACTCAGAAATGGGTAGATCTTCTTACCTTTTGTTCTAAAAGTATACTAAGAAGTGTTGAAATATTCCATTATAGCATTTAAAAACAGATACTGAGCTTGTTAGAAGCTGTGGCTTGGTTGATACAGAATTTGTACTTATCAGCAAGTTCAGTAAGACCCCAGTGAAGCCAGCTGGTATGCTTTTGATTTAGGTGTGACTGCAAATCCTATCTGGCATGTGTGAAAAGAAATTCCTGCTTTTTCTTTTATCCACTCCAATCTTGGTATACCAGAAAGGATGCATGTTTAAATTGAAACATGGGAACAGGCAAACAGTTTGTTAAATTGGAATGAAAATTTTGTGTTGCTTGCAAATGTGTAATTACTCAGCCAGAAAGCATCATAATGTAAAGTTAAGTAAGTGATGTTGCCCCAACTAGTGTGCAACCTTGTTCAATTAGCTTGGTTCTACTGTGAAAAATAAAAATGTTGTTTATACAATCCTTTCAAAGTCCTATTTGCTAATCTAGTTGACTAAATTTATTCTCTTATTGTTGTCTTGTTGGGATAATTCTTGTTTAGGAGAGTCTATGAGCCCCACAGTATTCCAGCCTGATTATGTTATGTTATCTCTGGTTGAATTTGTAAGGCTGACCATGTACATCTGAGCTTGCCTTCACACTAGGTGTATTTATTGACAGATAATCTATAGCATTACTTTGTTGTTTCTGTAAAAATTGCTTTGGAGGGTAGAACCTTCAATGTATGGTGCAAATGTATGTTTTAACATAATTTAGTTGCCTTTATTTTCTGTTAGATATCTGATATCTATGTTAAAAAAATGTTATTCCAATAAGATTGTTCCTGGTTATTGCTTTTTCTCACACTGTTTTCCAAATGTTTAGCTTGGAAGCCTCTTCTCATATTACTGTTCAACTGAAGTCACTCAGGCAATATGGGATGGATATCTACAACAAGCAGATCCGTTCTTTATTTATTTCTTAATGTTAATCATCCTTGTCAATGCAAAGTAAGTGTATAGTGAATTCTTTGGGACATTTCTTGCTGACACAATTTTTAATACTCCTGTTTCATTTTGGTTTTACTGACTTAATGTATGCTTGTCACTATTGTTTTCAGAGACGTTATCTTAGCACAAGAATCAGATAAAGAAGAAATTATAAGTAAGTACTTCTCTTATATAGCTGCTAGTGAAAGATTTGCCATATATGTGTAATAGTCATTGATTATTATTTTAAATAACTGAATTAGTGAATTATTTCACTATGATTTTGCTCATTAATGAATCCCCTCACCCACTAGTTCCTTTGTCACTATTCTTTTGCTGCATCACATTTGCCCTGTACTTAATATTCTTATGTTTCCTTTTAGCTTTCCCACCCCTTGTTTTATACTTCAGTTTGGAGTACTTGAAACAATCACCATGTTCCTAAGCCCAAAGCAGGACCTTTCAAATCCTTTTTGAAATCTACTGCACTTGTATTTTTCCTGATTATTGCAGGAAATAAGCACTTGATTTGAGCCTCATTCATTGTTCCTGTCTTGCCTTCTTCTGTTTTTTATAGAAGTTACAGTAAATTTCTTGTAAGCCTATTTCACCTGCCTTTGTGGGGGTTTTTTTATGTATGTAAATACAACATATTTAATAATCTACTAGTTAAAACTGAGGGGCTTGGAATTTTGCATCTTTGCCATATACTGCAAAACTATACCCTTCTACCATCCTGGGCACAGAATAGCACTACTGACTCTCTTGGGTCAACCCTCTGTAAAAAAGGCAGCTGACTTACTATTACAACTGAAAGCTAAAACCATACGGAGATAACAATGTGGTAAAAATTGATTTGTGTAGGTTTGAACTTCTAACAAATAGCATAGGTTTCCTATGGATAAAGGAGTATTTCCTGCATCTTCTCTTTACACCTAGAGACTGAGTCAACATTCATTTTTAATCAGGAAACTCAAGTGTGCTCTTCTTTATTAAAAATAAGCAGCTTTATCTTATGAAAGATATATGGTGCTGCTTTTCTATACCTGAAATAATGGTGTGCTTATGTTGTTTGTGTATCTCAGAATTCTTAGAAACTTCACCAGCCAATCTCGATTTAGAGGATATAGAAGATCTCTTCTCTTTGGCACAATATTACTGTAGCAAAACTCCAGCTTCTTTCAGGAAGGTAATAAAGTAACTTTGAAATTCTCCTAGTTTTGGTGACTGCTTAAGCTCCTGCTGACAGTAACTTTGAATATTTCATTGTGATGGTATTTTAAACAGTTTTTTTATGTTGTTACCCTGGTGTTATTTACTGCTAGAATCTTTGAAAGATGAGAAGGTTAAGTGAAACATGCTATAGAGAAGCTTCCCTGCAGTATGCAGATTACCCTGTTTTACAAACCAGGTTTTGTAAGCAGCTGATGATGCAAAAATGTCATACTTAACCAATTACGTCGTAGTAGACTGCACGACAGTCCTAGCTGTGCTTGCAACAGCAAACAGGGAAAAGTCACTTACTGGAGATAAAGCTGTCATTGCCTGCGCTGTTCTTGGAGTTCTTCCTTACTGAAGATACCTGAGTTCATTGAATTAATGAAATAAAAGTAATTTTTAATCATTGTCTTTGGCTTGTATATGCTTTCTCTGATGTGTGTAGCCAAATAGATGAGATTTTTTTGGGGAAAAAAACCCCATAAAACAACCAAAAAAACAAAAAACAGAGGTATTTCATCATGTTGGCATGGTCAGAGTGGTGGACAAGTGTGTTTGTAATGGAAGTTGAGGCCTTGCCATGATTTTCAGAAAGAATTTCAGTTGATCAAAAATTTGTTGATTATGTGGACAAGACTATGCATGTATTGGCCTTAATATTTGTGACCTGGTGGATATAGTATTATTTTAAGCCTTCACATCTAAAGACAATGGCTTCAGTTAACTTTTTTTTTTTCCATCTTGCCTTATTAGGACAACCACAGTCTTTTTGGCAGCAGCTTGCTGAGCCTCAAAGATGATGATACAGACTTGAGCCAGGCTCTCTGTCTGGCGGTTTCTGTGTCTGAGATTCTTCAAGCAAATCAGCAACAGGGAGTAAGTACACTGGTTTATTCTTCCCCTCTCCCCCAGTTTTATAGAAAAGGAAAAGAATCACTTATTACTTTGTGTATTGTAAATATTTTTAAGTGCTAACAACAGAGATGAATATTTGCTATTTCAGGAAAAAGTATTCTTGTCTCCCTTGTAAAGGATCTGCTGACTGCAATTCATTTGTGCTGTAGCAACTAGAGCTATAGCACAGGGGAGCTTAATGCAGCTGATTTGAATCTGAGCTTAATGTAATATCTCAGTAATTTGAATTACTTTCCAAACCAAGGCATTGTAGAGGCAAATGTGAGATCCACTACTTAGTACTATTGAGAAGAATGCCATTATGAAATATTTGTCTTTTTTGTCAATTAGAGTTTTATACAAACAAACATTGATTCAGGTTATTTCTGTAGTAGTTAATTGCAGATATACTTAGATGCTGCGACTTCACTTAGAGTATTTCAGACCAATATATGGATAGTAGTGTAGCTAGATTACAAGTTTCTTATAGACCACTGGCTTTTTGTAGCAGTTTCCAGGCCCCAGTTTAATCATGCATACTTTTTTTTTCCCTCAGTCCACTTAATGTTAAGTATCTACTTACATCCTGTTTTAGTCAGTGGGATATAAAGCTATCCTTATGTACTGTGCTGAGTAGTAGTGGACAGTTGGATTGGGATCTCAGAGTTATCCCTTCCAATGTCTTTTTGTGTGCCCTCATACCCACTGTATTTCTTCTCAGTAGAGGAGAAATAATTACACTGTGTATACATTTGGATGACCTTTTTTAATGTGCAAGCTGATGTATTAATTCAAAATCACTTTTAGAATACTGTTGGTGGTCTGGTAACTGTAGAAGTTGAGATTATTCAGATGAAATAAGGTGGTTTTTTGATAGCTATTTGCCCTCTTGAGCGGTTCCTGCAGTAATGGAATTAGTATTGAAATATAATTGAATTATGTACTTTGCTGTCAACTATTACATGATAATAAAATTTTTAACAGGCTTTTCTGTTTCAGGACGGAGTAAGGTTCTTTGTAGTGGATTGTCGTCCTGCAGAGCAATACAATGCTGGACATTTATCAACAGCATTCCATTTAGACTCCGATTTGGTTCGTATGCTTTTTGTTTCTTTATTGATTTTTTGAATCCCAAGCTATAGAGAAAGAGTTTATCCTTAGATTAGACTCTGATTTGTGGACTGCAGTGTCTAGCTATGTGATGAGGTTTCACAAGTTAGTTTCTCTAAAGGAGATTGGTGGAACAATCATTTTACCGAGAAGCTTAGTCCTTAATAACATTAGAATTTGGGATTCCAGGCTTCTTGTTCTTTTCTTAGAACTGGAACCTGATACAAGCTGAAGACTAGACATTGCTTGAAGGAGAAATCTCTTTTTAGGTTCATAATTTCTAATGAAAGGTGTCATTCATTTTAATAAGTAGCTTTTTTTTTTTCCCCAGCCAGGATTACTACAGCCTGCTTGTAAGGAGCATCTCTTGAAAAGGATTTGGCTTCTCCTTTAAAATTTTTGCAGTACAATATAAGAGAGGAAGTACTTCAGTTTGAGGACTGAGATGTACTATGGGATAATTACTTCATTAAAGATTTTGCTGTAGTTTCCATTTGATTATTGAACATCCAATCATGTATTTTCTATCCTTTTTTCCACAAATTACTTATGCTTCAGATGGCTTACAGTATATTCTTCACTTCTGGATTAACCCTCTACTATTTCACTTCAAACAGTCTGTGGATGCTGCATGGAAGTATTTCTATGTATATACTGCATAAAAGGGCTTTCAGTCCTCATCTGTTATCTTTACCTCTCTAATTAAATGATGTAGTATTTAGTATGATTTGCACAACTGTAATTATAGATGAGAAAAAAGGAAGCTGAGGGGAGACATTATGCTTCCTACAGCTACCTGAAAGGAGGTTGTAGCAAGGTGGTTGTTGGTCTCTTTTCCCAATTAACAAGTGATAGGAGAAGAGGAAATGGATGCAAGTTATGCCAGGGGAGGTTTAGATTGGATATTAGGACAAATTTCTTCACAGAAGGGGTTATCATGCTCTGGAAGAGGCTGCCCAGGGAACTGGTGGAGGTATTTAATATATATATATATAAAATTTAAAATACCCTGGAGGTATTTAAAAGACTTTGAAAGACTTAAAAAAACTTGCATTTAAAAGACTTAGGGACATGGCTTTGTGGTGGAGAATTGGCAATGTTAGATTTAGGTTGGACTCAATGATTCTATATATAGTATTCTGGGTTTTAACCTAGATCAAAAAAGTATTTAGGAAGAAACTTTCCCCTTGGTGAGTGTCCTTCTGTTAGCCTTAATTGAAAATCCTATTCCATAAAGTAGAAATAAGTATTATAAATTATTAAAAAGTTAAAAAAATTAGTAATATATGAAAAAGAGGTCCATGAAGACAATTCTTAAATTGTATATGATTAGTTCATATATCTTGAAATTATATATTGGAATTAGCTTCTGCAGTCTATGTCAGTTGGTATGGTTAGGATACTTCTTGACCCATGCTGAATGAATGTTGCCTGTTTCATCTCTTTTTTGAGCAGATTAATGTCAGGAAAACATTGTAGGGAATAATATTTGAGATGAAAAGCCATTGATAGAACTTGGTGGGTTTTACATGCTGGTACCTGCAAAATACACACAATTTACCTTAAGGGGAGGCAGTGGGGAAAGCCCTTCGGCATACATCTCATTTATAGGTAGTCTTAGAGGAAGTTGTGAGATTTAGCACCTACTTAATAAAGCAGCAGCAATCTGCTCTAGAAAACCCCAGTTAAATTTTAGGTTGACGTACTTGTGACTAGGTCATGTACTTGTTGCTTTGTGCTTCATCGTTTAATCTAGTGTAAAGACTAAATAATGAAAATTCTTCCCCTAATCCAGTTCCAGGTCAATATTTCCATAGTAATTTAAATAAATGCCTTCCCCACAAAAGCAAGTTAAAATTTCAGCTGTATTTAAAAAGTCTTTGTTTCTCCATCTCTTTCATATGGCTACTCATTGTTTTTACGTGCATAACAGGCCTTCAGAAGAACAACAGCTTTAACTTTTTCAGAGTTGTAAGAATCCCAAGTGTCTCCTTGTACTCCTGATTGTAAATTTTTTTCTAAATATTGATAATGAGAAAAAGCTTAGCAGGAAGTCAACAGGAGGAGAATCTTACTGCCACCTAGAAATTCCAGGTATTTTAAAGAATTTCAAAATTGCGAAGTTTGCATGTGTTACAGTGAAGCACATGTAAGTATGGAAATCGGTCCTTCTGCCATATTGCCAACAGAATGCAACATGGAAGTTGCAAAGACTTTTTCCACTATAATTTCGTCTGCAAAAATAAACTAAAAAATATTAGCTGCGTTTCTTTCCTAGGAAGAACAGGGTGGAGTTAGGAAGAAAAGGACCATTCTCAGTGTTGTTTATGTAACATGAAGTCTGGGTCAGGCTCTTTTTTTTTTTTTTTGTGGTGTCTGTCTTGTACAGTGCTGATGTTGTCTTCTGTGTGCTCAACCTGTTATAACCATTTTCCAAGTTTGTAACTTTTCAAAAGTTGTGTTACAGTACGTTGGCATCAAAAAGCACTTTTGTTTTTTCACTCCACAGATGCTTCAAAACCCATCAGAATTTGCACAGTCTGTAAAATCCCTATTAGAAGCACAAAAACAATCTATTGAGTCTGGCTCTATAGCTGGTGGGGAGCATCTCTGCTTCATGGGAAGTGGCAGGGAAGAAGAAGATATGTATATGAACATGGTGCTAGCACACTTCTTACAGGTACACTTAAATTGTGGTTGATTTTAATAGCTCAAAAAACCTGTCGCTGCACATATTGATACTAAATGGCAAAATATTTTCCTCTTAAAATGTAAGCTGTTTTTTACATTACTAAAGTTTTGTGAAGTTAAACTATGTTTCATTACCATGCCTGCAAAACCCATTCCATGGATTTTTATTTTTTTTTCCCAACCAAAAATGTCTTTTCTGTTGCAGAAAAATAAGGAGTATGTAAGCATTGCCAAAGGAGGATTTATGGGTAAGCTTAGTAACAATGAGCTTTGGCTTGACAAAACTTGGTATCTTAATGCTGTTGATACTTTTATTAGGCTTTGGTGAGGAATCATCTAAATGAATAGCATTTAGGTCTCATTGGTCAGGTTTATGTTTTGTGTAAGTCAACATGCTGCACTTGCACGTTTCTGGTTAACTGTTGTGCTTACCTGCATTTCTCAATAGTGAAAAATTATTACAAGAAGTGGGGAAATTTCCTCTTTGCTTAAAACTTGTAATTCTCCATGTTTAGCCTCCGTAGATTGCCGATTCTTAAGAAGATGCTGCTTCATAATTACGATTAATTGTTGTTGTGTTTTCTTAAATTAGCAGTTTATAATTCTGCAGATCATATTGTTGTAATCAATCAGGCTCTGCAACAATGAAGAGATCTGTGTCACCACAGAGGCATTACTAGTCAGCTTGTGCAGCATCAATTGAGCAAAAACTGTTACTGATTAGTCTTGGATATACAGTATTTTCATCAACAGACTAATTCCAGTGTAGTTCTGAACGTTTTTTAATGGCCTTTTAACAGCCCTCCAGCAGCACTTAGCAGATATCAATGTGGAAGGACCGGAAAATGGGTATGGACACTGGATTGCTAGTACTTCAGGCTCAAGATGTAGCATAAACTCCTCTGTTGATGTAAGTGAATTTTAAGCTCAAGTGGTGTAGTGTGGTAGGAGCCCTAGGTATACTGAGAGTTTTTCTTCGTATTTCTCATTCTGTTCTGTAAAATGCATTGCTTCAAGTCCTGACTGTTTTCAACTGTGTGTTTAATTTCACAATATTCACTGTCTAGTTGGAGGTGACCTAAACATCTTCCTCTTGAGAGGAAGACAGTGAATAGAAGAACTTGGAGTAGTCGTTCTCAGCAGTATATATGCAATGGGCAATTATTTTCCTGGCTCTTCTTTGCTCTGAGAAAAAAGTAATATAAAACTGGCTTACAGTTTCATGGGAAAGCTCACAATTATCTCTTCTGCAGCTGATAGGTTGTATGTAGGATCTGGCTTTTAATTTGGATAAAATTTACCATTAATGGAATTCCTTCCTCTCCAGATTTTCATAGTAGATCATCTTTACCTCAGACACATACTGTTAGTGTCATTTGATAGAACTTTAAAAGAATTCTTAATGCTGTAATTTATGTTCTACTGAGTACCAAAAAGTCCATTACTGTTTTTGTAGTCTGTTTCCTTTTTTAACCAACTAGAGATGAAATAACGTTATTTTTATGTGATTAATCCTGAGCGGAGTTACTTTTGCAGGGTGATTCTCCTAATGGTTCAAGTGATGGGAAAGGAGTAAAGTCTCTGATGAATAAAATGACGGTTGCTCTGAAGACTAAATCTGTGAATGTGAAAGAAAAGGTTATTAGTTTTATTGAAAATACATCTACTCCAGTGGACAGGTACGTCATTTGTATCTCACTGTGAATTAATAGTGAGGAATGACTTCCCATTTCAGGTAGCTATTTTGTAAATGTGAAGACTCTGCTAGTTAGGCAAAAATACTATTTTCCAGTTTCAGCATTTAGATTTCCTACGCATACCCTCCTCACAATTTTATCACAGCACAGTAAGACTGATGTGTTGCCTTAATTTGGCAAGGCCAGTGTGAGCAGCCTTTTCTCTTGATTTTTTATCTAGAATTTGTCACTGCATGGTTACTATGATTTCTTATAATGTGTCAATTCTGTATTCAGTCTAAAAGTCAAGAATCATTTCACTTTTATTTCAGTTCCTCCCCATCCTGATTCTAGTGGAGTGGGTGAATAACAGGAGGATCCTAAATCCTTTTTCTTATTGTTTGATTGGTTTTTTCTGTTTTGTGTTGGTTTTTTACTGCCTCATCAAGTTGAGGTTAACTTTTTTGAAGACTGTGATTTTTCAAGTTCTGACATAAAGCTGCTTTTCAAACCCAGAATCTACTTCTGCTCATATTTATGCCTTCAAGTAGAGCTGGGAATGAGAATATGCAAACATGCTGAAAGACACTTTCAAAGTTGGAAGTCATCATTCCAAATACTTACCTTAAACAAATAACAGCTTTTATCTGTCAAAGCTGTAACTGAATAGCGTGTTTCAGAGTTTTTTAAAATGCAGCCTTTGGAGTTGTATGTTACGAAGACATGGGTATCCAATAACCTTTACAGAGCTTTGGTAGCAGGATTTAAAATACATACAAAAAAGTAGTTTTTAGTGGTCTTGTACCTAATCAAAAGGTACAGATTGTTGCTTCTTTTTGTGTTGGAATATAATTTTTTAAAAATTATTACTATTCTTTCACAATTAGAGGCAACACATTCATAAATAACATTTGGTAGTAGCTTTTGTTGTGTGAAGAATTCAAGTAAGGCTGATATGTAAGCTCTATATGGATACATACAGCATGGAAAATGGATCTTTTAGTAGAATTTTTACATATCTTTGTCTCATGGCTAGCCCTCATGAAGCATTGCTTTTATTTATAAGCATCCTCGCTGAAGAAGACAGATTGCCAATATAGAGCATTTCAAGAATTTCTCTAGATTTCCCCCTTTTTTTTTTTTTATTTTTAATTCTTTTGTTCTGTCCTCTGCCCCAATGCACTATAGAATACCTTTCAATATTCCCTGGCCAGACAGAGCAAACCTGGAGCGGTAAGCTTGATAATTAAGCAGTCTGACTAAAACCACCTTTGTTGTACTTAGCATGGCATCGCAGTATTTGTAAGCATTGGTTACACTGACAAAATTGGTCACGTGTTTTTATATTCGTTTAGGTTTTCTGATTATGTTAAAGCTATTGGGTTTTACAAGCACTAGTCAAGGGACTGGGGGGGTGGAATTATGTATTGGTAGTGCTTTCTTAGTTTCTGCTTTGTGGTTTCTGCTCTCTTCCTTACTTCTTTTTTCCTTCCCAACTCTTGCTTTTATGGATTTTTTTTCTTTTTACTTGTCATTTCCTATGTAAGTTTTATTAGTGACTTGTACTAGTGAAAGATACCAGAAGGAATTACTGAACAAACCGTGCCTTGAGGTTTTAACAAGAGAGACTACAGCTGTGAAAAGGACTTGTTATGAACTGTTCATAAAGCATCATCAGAGCTTAGATCTGGAAATCTGGAATTTTTATGCTTCTCATCCAACAGCGATAGAACATCCTGATAGAAACAGAGGTGCTCATTACTGGGAAAAGCAAAATTCTGACTTAACAATTAAATATGCCTTGCAGGTCTCCCTCATCTTTTCACAAAACTACTACATTACATACAAATGTGGAGCCCCTTCACATTTGTCTCAGATTTATTGCTTTACAATTATTTCAGAAATAAAATTTGTGAATTAAGGGTATGTAAAATTACGTGAGATAAATTTAAAAACAGCTCATGCATAATCACTTTGGAACTTCAGTTATACTTTAGCTATGCTATGCTACAGCTTTTGGCCCTTGTACACAGAATCAAAGAATCATAGAACCATTCAGGTTGGAAAAGACCCTTGGAATCACTGAGTCCAACCATCATCCCTACTCTACAAAGTTCTCCCCTAAACCATCTCCACCAATACCACATCCAGACAACCCTTAAACACATCCAGGGATGGTGACTCAATCACCTCCCT